AAATTTTATATCGGCTCGCAGGAGATAGTGGCGAAATCGAAAGACAGACAGGCTCGCGTAGACTATCGATTTCGATGCCGAATTCGCTGCCGAGCACCGATTTGGTACCACGATGCACGTCACTCAAGGGAACAAGCCGATCAATACCTCGTCTTACGATCAATAACAACCGAAGCTGACAGCACGATCGTATTGTAAATGCGACCCAAGATGCGCGTAAACGAGGGATCGATCTCAGGTTTACGGCGGTACCGTCTCGTCCTCTCGACGGTGCTTTTTCCTCGTTCAAAGGTGAGACGTACTTCTCGCGCGAATCAAAGGGGAGAAAGAGCTACGTGCTTGTGACTATGATTATTACGATTTCTCGCGTGCCATCACGGTGCAAGGACGATGATCCACGGAACGCGCGAGCGACGGCGGAATTCTCGCTGAACCGATTACATTCTTACGTACGGCGCTTCAACGCGGTCGGCCACCCCCTCGCAACTACGGGTACACGCGACTGCCGACCCTCGTGCGATCCAAGGAGGGTTGCGGTAGTCGCCGACGTCCCGACGTTTCGCCGGCATACCAGCGCACGATTTTCGCTACGGACATGCACGCGTTGGTTGCCGTGTGCTGCCGTCGTTATCTATGCCGCTATACCTATTACCTACCTTTCAACCTTCGACTTCCGACCCCCCTTAATCAGGAGCGTATAAGCGACCGACGGCCCACCCGCGAATAATCGCTGCGCGAGGTGCTCCGGGAATGTCGGAAGTACTCTTCGATACGTGAAGGGAGGTAAAGTGCAGAGGTACCACCAATTATTAAGAACTAAGTCCGTAATTTGAATTACTTCGAGTTTAAAATATGTATTTATCAATATATTCGCTTCTCAATATCCGCTATTTTATATATTTGTTAATAACAATTAATACATATATTATAATACAAGAATATACTATACATATAATATAGGAATACATATATTATAATATACTTGAAATTTTTTTAGTATTATTTAAAATTATTCCATATTATATTTAAATAAATTCTTATATTATCGGTTATCGTCAATTGCATACTTTTACTATAACATGTCGTATTTCTGCCAAGAAATTTTTTTCGATATTATAAGCGATTCGTGTCGACAGTATTACGCGCAGTTACTGTACATATTCACGCATACACGCATAAAATAAAACGAGCAAAAATATTTAGAAAAAGAATATGAAAGCAACGTGGTACAAAAGTTTCATTGATAGCGGACTTCTGATTTTACATTTATTATACACCAGCGACACATATGTATCCTCAGAAAAATCAATTAAATGAGAAATGTAAATTCTCTCATGTCATTCACATACTATCAAAAAATTTTTTTCTCACAACTTATACAAGCGTAATCGCATATTTATATTGAAAAATTACTCAACGACTCAAGCAATTACGTGTTTGTTTTTAAAAATTTCATAAAATGAAACTATACTGAAAGGGTAAAAGATTAATGATGTTATTAATGAGATATTATTAAAAATAGTCAAATCTGAAGTTTTCAAGATTATCAAGTGATTGTGGTAAATCCGAACGGGGACAACTAAAGAGTATATATAATAGATTATTGATTGTTTGATATATAAATTCATATATCTCCATAAGACCATAATGCATAATTCATAATACATTTAATTTATGATCTATTATACAAATGTTTTGTAAATAACAATATATCCTTTTAAGGCGTAATAATGTTATGTAAGTATAGAATTTCTAAATTCCTTTGATAAATTTTAGAATAAATTCTTCATATTAAATAAAAAATTCATATAAAATTATGTTCCAAAAATGTGTAAAAAGTTATCATTAACCTTCTGAGGACCAACATGTTTTTGATCGACTTTTTTATTTTAAGAGCTAGAACTTTTTTGTCAATATCATGGGGTTGAGTAGCGAAAAAGATCGTACCACTGTCAAGTCTCTAAAGGGGCCTCCGGTCCTCTAGAGGTTAAAAGATTAGATTCAACAAAATTTTGAACTGATAAAATCTAATCAATATCAAGTTATAATTAATAAGAGATTTTCAAAGTACTTTTCTGTTTGAATTTTTAAAATTTTTATCTGTAGGAATATTTATATTGTTGATTACGTTATACATGTAAAAATAAAGAGAGTTTTATCAACATATTTTTGATACTTGTAAAACTATTCATAACTTTCATGGGACTTTTGAAAAGATGCGACAGTCAAATTGTTGTTAGTATTTGCATTCAATCGAATGGAATCGAGATTTTCTTATGAATTGTGACTTAATATTAATCACATCTCATTAGTATTAAAAATGTTATCGTTAGTTGTACCTACTTTTTTAATTTTATTTTTTATCAAATTAATAATATTATTTTTAATATTAATTATATTTTTATTTCATCCAATTTCAAATATAAGTTTATGTGAACTTTGTCGTTAATTATTGTAATATTAAGAATTTAGAAATTTATCGAAAAAATATGAAAACATCGTGTATATATGATGTATACTGCTGAGAACTGTATTTTATATTAGCTATCACCACTCACACATGAAGACTTAAACACGGATATATACATAATAGAAATGTAATTTTTTAAAATTAAAATTATATATCGTCTTGTCATAGATATATATGTATAGTCCACATATCTATGAAACATATCAAAGTAATAATAAATCACGAAATTAATGTATTACATTACAAGTCAATTTCTGTCTAATTTCCGTCAAAATATTAACAGTTACATAAACTTTCATAAAGCTTTTGGATCTTTTGATATTCATAGCCCGTTCTAATATTCAAGACTGTCTTAAAAAGTACAGTTTTAGGATATTATAAATCAATCAACAAGAATCGTATTAACATCTGAACATATTAAATTACCGTCTGGTGAAATAAGAATAGACTATGTGTACGTTTACACCGTGCGCTTAGTCTGCGACCTATACGATAGGTGTCTTTGTTTAATATACAGGATAAACAAAGACATCTATCGTATAGGCCGCGGTCTAAATGCACGGTGTAAACGTAGCCTATGAATACCGATTTCGGTGCTGCTGCGAACATTTTTTACATTTTTGCATCCTCTCTCTCCTCGCTTTCTCTTTCTCTTTCTCTCTCATCGGATGGCCCACAAAATCCCACACGAACGAGATGGTTATCAAAATCTATCGACTACATATCATTGGCGCGGCGCCCTTTTTTTCTCCCCATGCCAAAAGTTCAGCGGACTATTGATTCATCAGCATACAAAACGTTATACGCCGCTCGCGCCCAGCGTATACGTACCTCTATTTCCAATTTTATTAATCTCTTCAATCTGCCGCTACAATTTTTTTTTATTTTTTTTCTGCTAAACCGTATATCTCGCCATCGATTTGTTGCGACTACGATACGCACGTGAAAATAATTCTGTCGTTACGGTCGTGATGATCTTATTTTTACGTTAACTAAAGAATATGATTTGTACGAGACACACACATTTATACAATATATGTATATATCTACTTAAAAATTTATTTGTGAGAAATATATTTATTTTACTGAAACAAATCTTTATTTAAATGGCGGTGAAATAAAATAACAAATATGCCATCTATTTTATTTTTTTTACAATTAATGAAATATATTTTACAAAAATGTATATTTCGTCGTCATAATCAAATGTTTTCATAACAAATAAATATCGAAGAACCCATACAGCACAGAAATTTGCAGGAATATCGCTGCAAAATCTCTGCAATATTGCTGTAACATGCAATGTTGCGTCAGTGTTTCTGCAACTTTTGTGCAACTTTGTGCTGTAGGGGAAATGTCAAAGTATTGCAAAGCAAACGTTACTTACGTCGTAACATTTGTTTCGTAATATTTTGACATTTTTTTCTCAGGGTCATCACACGAATGACAGTCCATGTCCATGCCTTGTCTTTGGATCTAATGGACCCACGACATCGCAATTAAGGATTAAACAGAGGTAAAACGATACATCATGCACAATATACGCTTTGCGGAGAGATTAAAATGCATTCAAAGAAATGCTATTGGGTCTATTTGTGTCATTCTACCCTTTTTTTACGTCTAATGAACGATAAAAATAGAATGACACAAATAGCGCTAATAGTGTTTCTACAAATATTAGAATAGATCTGTTGCTTGCACTTCTTGCACTCAGTATTTTTGCCTTTTTTTCAACGTTTGAATATATTTTTATCTTGTAAGTGTAAAATTTTTAGAGATTAATTTTGAAGCAACGCGAATAAATTAACCTATTAAGACACTCCCCGTATCATCAATTATTGATATTGATTTGTTTTTTATTGCTACACTGGAACTTTCCTTCCATTTTCGCCAAATATCAAACATATATTATCTACTTCATTTTAAATACAAAAAGTATAATACTACCTAGTTCAGTTATAAAAAAACAGACCTATTTTCTAATAATAATATTATAATGACTCAATAATAATAAATAAATATAAATTAATAATAAGGGCTACGAGCCAATTAATGATATATTTAAATATTGATTTAAGAGAATTCTTTAAAAATTTAATACGTACTCTCTGATATGAGATTACATGATTTCTTTAATAATTTACAAATATTATTACCAAAATTATTTCTAATGTAAAAAAAGTGAATGTAGAATAATTATGACGCTTCATCTCGCCCGCGTGTATTAAATAATAATAATATTATAATGGCTCAATAATAATAAATAAACGTAAATTAACCTATTTTCCATCCGAGGCCGGTTCCAATTTCCAATCAAATCCGCAACCATGTCCGCAACATGGCTACCTCGGATATCACGTGACCAATGGATGGCGCCCCCTTTCTACGTCTCGTGTATGTACATCTTGTAAATGTAAACACCGGCCAAGTTCCACTAATTTGGTTTGATGCGTTCGCGTTGCTTGACGTGCACAAGTGCACAAGTTGCCGGCGTGGCGACGTGAACGTGTCTTGTTGTATTACATTATCATCATCGCACGAATTAACAATGTTGGTGCTCCTAATTGCGATATGCATCCTTTCCGGCGTGCATGCCACGAAACTCGAGCGGGTGCACGACAACGAACTCCTGAATCTTATAAAAGTCGAAAAATATGTGATCGTTCTATTTAGTAAGTTTCTTTTTTTTTTCTTTGTTTTTCTTGAATTCTAAAATTTTTTGAGGGAAAAGGAAATATTGCTTGCAAAGACTCTAATTATTTGTATATATTATTTATATTTTATTTACATAGTCCTGATTATATATTTTATATTTTTATGATGCAAATTAGAGTCTATCAATACAAGGCTTTATGATCTTATGAATGTTGTAGCTTTTAATTTTCAACATAAATTTGTTTCAAACAATGATCTTGAAAGCACATGTACATATTCACTATAATTAATCTCTCGCAATAAGCTAAACAATTCTGCTTGTTATTTTTTATAATGTTACTTAAGCTATGGTTTTCTCAACTATATATGATAACAATCTTAATTACCCTCATTATTATAATTTATAATTACTAATGATAATAATCTCATTTGCAGCAACTAGCGCGGATTGTACAAATTGCAATAATTATGAAAAGAAGTTGGCTCACTTGCGTGAGGATCTCGTGGATGTCATGTCTGCGTGGGTTGTTAAGGCTATTGATAGTCAATTACTCCAATTATATAGTAATGATAGAGAACCTGTTCTAATATTTTTCCGACATGGGCTTCCTTTGTTATATGACGGTATGGATTTGACAAGAAATAGAAATTACATTTAGATGTTTTACTCATTTAATTTTGTGATAATACATTGTGCTTTATTATCCCGTATACATTGTGATATGTCTACATATATTTTTATTTCTGAGCGTGCTTATAGATCTATGATTGTACTATAGACTTTTTCATGTTGCATCTTCTTCCACAGGACCTTTGGAGGACGAAGACATTATAACTACGTTTACGGAAAATAAAGCACCTACAGTAAAGGAACTTACAGACGATACATTTGAGCATTTAACTCAAGCAAGCACTGGTGCTACGACTGGCGATTGGTTCATTATGTTGTAAGTCTCAATCCTTATTTCTACATTTATAGTAATCATTTAATTTGTTTTATAAGTAACGGCAGTACGTATACTAATCATGGCTTATAATATCAGTTACAGCACGGACTGCGTACAATGCTTACGCACAATGGCAAAATGGGAAATGGTCGGTGCCAAGCTTAAACATAAAGTAAATGTAGCACTTGTTAATAAAGCCACAACTGGGATTTCCACAGCCAGGAGATTTAACATTTATAATACGCCAAAATTTATACTGTAAGCACATATATATATATATATATAAATCAATGTTTGATATCTTGAATATTATATAAACACACTGTGAGATAAGCACAAATTGAAAAGTATAACTGACATATAGTATATTAATACGTTCTACTCATACAGTTTTAGGCATGGGAAAATATATCGGTATGATGTAGGAACACATGATGTTGCTTCTTTTGTAGCATTCGCCAAAGAAGAATACAAAGATATAAAACCAGAAGAAGTACCTCCACTTCCAAGCTATTTGTAAGTTTAAAGAAATACATAATTACTTAAAAATGTTTCATTTTAACTTATTTGTAAATTTATACATTAATGTATTATTTTTCTAGCGATGAATACACAAAAGTAATTATAACGTTTCTCTATGATAATCCGTGGATACTCAAGCTAGCTAGCATTTGCATTGGGGTGCTGGTTATTGTTCTAGCAACTATTAAATGTATGCAATCAGATGAAAAAGAAGATAAAGAGGATAAAGAAGACTAATAAGTACATTCGAGATTTGCCAAAAATACAATATGAATGTTTCTCTGTACAGACTATTGTTTATAATACTAAAAATGACTTTTGAGTGTACATTAAATTATTATACATGTGTAAAAAGTTAATTTTAAACTTACAAGGGAAGTTTCACAACTGTCCGGAACCGATTTGATTTTCCATAATATGTTGTTAAACAAAAATCTAAGAGAGACGTATTTTTTTATATGTGCACTAACTCATGTTTAAGGGGTGAAACACCCCTTTGAAAAAAAAACGGTATTTCTATTTCGAGCCGAATACCATCGGAAGTATAAAAGATGGAAAAAAAACTTTTAAACAAAAGTTGTATTTTTTTTGTTAAAATTGTTAACAAAAAAGTTAAAAAAAATTTTTTTTCTTCACAACATTGAAGTACTTTTGAAACCGTACAACTTTTGTTTAAAAATTTTTTTCCATCTTTTATACTTCCGACTGTATTCGGCTCAAAATAAAAATACCGTTTTTTTTTTCAAAAGAATGTTTCACCCCTTAACATGAGTTAGTGCACATATAAAAAAATACGTGTCTCTCTCTTAGATTTTCGTGTTTAACAACATATTTCATGGAGAATCAAATCAGTTCCGGATAGTTGTGAAACTTTCCTTATTAATAATATTTTTATAAATGTACATCTCTTTGTGAGAAGTATTTTTTTAATATTTATCACATTGTAAATTGATGAAATAACTGAGAAATTTGATTATTTCATCACGCAAAAATATAATTACGAAATTTAATTTAATAGTACAATATTAAAAGTATATTTGATAATTGAAATTATTTTAAAGATAGAAAATATGATTTTTAGTATAACAATCTAATATACACAAATATTTGCACATTAGTTCTATATAAAGAATATATTTTTTTACTTGAAATATATTCAAAAAGTTATATAGTAAGTAATGATACAGAGAGAATGTGTATAACAGCAACAAATTTAAGAAAGGCAAAGCGGTATTAGGGAGTTTTTGCAATAACATGAATCCAAATACAGTGAACGCTAAAGTCACGCTATCCTTTTCTTCATTAGTTAAGAAAAAGATAACTTGACTTTAGCATTCACCATACCTGGATAAACGGCGGTATTACAAAAACTCCCTATTAATTAAATTTGCTTGAGAATATCTTAAATGAATCGCTTGTTTCAGAATAGATTCGTATCTGTTTTGTTAAGAAAAGATTTTATTGTCAAGTTATTAGTCACAATGCATTCCATTATTGTATAATGTTATATTATATCTGTTACTACAAATTTTATTGCTGCTTTTTTTACATGTAATTTTTTTATGAGCAATCATGTGAGTTACACTTTATTAAAAAGAAAACAGAAAAACACATAATTAGATTGTACAAAAATATCTGTATTATTTTTTACAGAAATATATCTTTGATGCAAAAAATTTAAAACCAATTGAAATTCCTTGAAATTCCAATCTTCAAATGAATCACTTAATTGAATTTAATAGCAATTTCCCATTAACGTGCAACAATATAAATTTTATTGAAGACAGTTCTATATCAAGCTTTGACAATTTATATCAATTTATATTTTCATAATATTATCTGAAAGTGATCTTCTAAACTTTAAAATTTGCACATTGTATAATAAATTTAAATGTAAATTTATAAAAGCAACATTGTTCTTCCATAGTACAGTAACTTGTTTAGCTTAATTATCTTTTCTTTAGGTTTTATAACACTCTAAATATGCTTCGAATAATTAAAGAATAAAATTCATGAGGCACGATATTGTGATAAAGTTATATTGTGATATTATTACTAATTAAGTTATTTAATCTGTTTTTGAAACTCGGAAGTTTAAACTTCATTAGTGTAATATAAATTTGCTGCTGATGATGACTGCATTCCATTATTCACTGCAAGTATTGAAATATAATGTACGTAACGTGAACTATATGTATATATAGATTTTCAGTACTCGCAGTAAATAATAGAATGAAGCCAATATTAAAAAATTTTAACTCTGATAAAATTATTTAAATCAATATAAAATATATATAATGCATAGTAGTTTAATTTTGTTATGCAACTTAATGTATCACATACGTGATAAGCGTAACCTACGTATAAATTCATATAAATTTAAGGAAACAGCTAAACAAACTATTAAAATTATAATAAAACTACAATAAAATACACATCAAGATATTAATCACATCATATTATTAAAGAAAAACTAAATTAAAAGATAAAGATTTCTATAATGTAAAACTCAATTACTTACTTAAATGCCATTTTAATATCACAACAAACCTAGCATTGTGAAAATATATAACAAATAAGTTCCATGTTTGCTAGTTTAAAAATTGTACTCATTTCTTATATAGCCATTTTGGTCTCGTTTCTTACAAATAAAAGGCAATTTGTATTCATATTAAATATTGTCAACTGCTACATTTATCCTGAAAACAGTTGATGGATTAGCTAACGCTATTCTGATACTGTTTTCAAACTTTTCTTGTATCGATGAGAATTCCATCATATTACTAGGTTTGGAATCGATCCAAAATCCATCAAATTCATAAAATAGATAACAATAAAACTGATGAAAGGCACGAATCGTCGGCAAGGTCTTCGAGGAATTATATATATGAGTCTTAGCACTGCCGTCTCTTAACAACTTCAGAGCCATGCTTGTGAGATTTATACCGACTATAGCAAATGCATATCCATAACGTGGATGATTTGAATGGGACAATACATGCGTAGCCATGCTAGGATACTCTTGAGCAAAGTAAACAAGATTCTCTAATCCTAGGATTCCCATCCCACGAAAGTCTGTCTTGGGATCATCCCCCTGAAAGCCGATCTCCTGCCATTGCTTGGTTACTCTCGCATCCAGGGGCTCGTATGGCATCAGTAGGTTCCATAACTTCAGTAGCTTTTGCTCGTGTTCCGGATTATCCACGCTGTACGGCATCTTCCTAAGCTCTTCACACTCCACGCAGAGCTGACGGTAACCCCAAATCAGTTCCACGCATTTACCAAATGTCTTGGCAAAATCTGGATGTGCCGTGGGATTGATTTTTTTCGTCACCAGCACGGTCCTGATGGCATCCTCCAGAATCTTGCGCTCCGTTTTCGTCGTTATCCCTCGGTGATCAGCAATGTCATTCAAGTAAGCTACGAGGGTCCTAATATTCGCGTTGCGCGACTGCTCAAGAGTCTCCTCGACTGCGAAAGCGCGCGGCGCTCCGGACGGCTGTCCGTAACAGATCCTCTGCAACTCGCACATCTGCGTGGTGTGGTGCAAGAACCATTTTATCAAGGGCCTGAAGTACCAGCACACCAGAGCCCAAAAGTACCTGAACATGCCTGCCCGATCAAAGATAGTGACGGTCGTCTGTCAGAAAGCGTCCCTCTAAAAGCGCCGTATTGTCACCGTGTTACTCTGTACTGTAGTGGACGTCATTTCGTTTCGACTATTTATTTTCATATCACTATGTAAATATAAATAGCGCTGTATAAATATCAGTAGAGAATTCGATATAACCTCGCCAACATCACGTCTTACCACTTTCTCTCTCTCTCTTCCTCTCGAGCGTTTCACCACTGAATACGAACGCGCAGGCAGTATAATTTAGAATTTATATCAATAATTTCCATTATGCGCTTGACGTCAATATATTATGCCTTCACACTTTACGTCTGACGTTACTTCGGACATCGAACGTCGGACGCCAAAGTCACATCTAGGTATTTTCGTATACCGTGATCGTTGCTAAACGTTAAGAATCGAAAGAAGTTTATCCAAAGATTTTTCAAGAATGCAAGAAAGGTTTCATGTAATTATTTATAATTAATCTATATAATTCTTTGTATTTCAGATTATAAATATTTAGATTTGATTTCATGCTCGCATCCATTTTTAAATTGTATTAATTGTTTCTTCAAATTAGTCAATTCTCTATTACCATCAAAATAGCAAATTAGAAAAAGTTAAATAATAAATAGAATATAAATAATTTAATATGTAATATTTATATATACAGCCTTATATATAATAAATAGTTACCAATGAACATGTTATGCGGGGTTTACAATAGAAGTCGTAGCGGTCATAGGATCTTAAGTTATAGAAAATTGACCAATCAGAGTCGATTATTCTTCTCATATTCGACTGTGATTGGTTAATTTTCTA